CCCTCACTCTTCGCCTGGGTGCTCCCCAACTGTCCACTTGGCCTTCACGTCCCGGAAAGGAGTGATGTCCTCGTAGGTGGCCATCTGCTCCACCTCCAGGCCCTGCACCAAGAAGAAGGAGGTTGAGACACGGGAGGGGGAACCACGGTTCCATCGCAGCGCATCCCCCGCCTTGGGACCCCTGAGTGGGGACCCATCTCCAGGCTATTTCCCCAGAGATCGGGGCAGCTTCTGAGAGGGGAGAAGATGGAGGTAGAAGGCTGGATGTGCTCAGAGCTTGGCTTGGTTTTACGAGCAGCTCTTGACGGCTGATGCACAACAGGCGCTTGGGAGGAAGATGCCCTGATGCGCCCTGCAAGGGCTGGTGGTACCTCGCAGACGCCCAGCAAGGGTACAACGAGCTATTTCAAGGCTCGGGTTGATATTACAGAGGTACTTCTATAATTAATGCAGCATTACCTCGTAGGTGTGGTCCTCCTCCGGGCTTTCCTTGCCTTCACCCTGTGGAGAGGGGAGTCACAGGTTGGGTGTCAGCACCCACCGGGATCCTCCATCCCCTGTCCCCGGCCTCGTCCCCCCAGGCCAGGTCCTACCACTTCCACAGGCAAATCCATGCAGTCCCACACGCCGTTTTAGATGCTTATTTTCCCACTTCAGCTAGCCACGCTCCCATGCAACAGCCCCAAACCCAGTGCCTGCCCATCCCCATCCCTAGCAGCGTCCTACCCAGGACGCAGGACACCGCTGTGAGCACCGCAGCGGCGAAGCTGGGGACATCCCCACTGCTGGAGACGCTGTCACTTACTTTATCTAGGAAGAGGAGCATGGGGACGCTGATGAAGATGACAAGCAGGATGGACTGGATGATGATGATGGCGTCTTTCAGGGTGTTCCTGCTCTGGATCTGCTGGATGTTACTGTGACCTGGCGGCACAGAGAGAGCCCCAAGTCCCACCTCTGTGCCAGGCTCCTGGGGACCGGGGGCGAGCTCGGCATGGCCACAGGTTCGTGTGTCAGCAAGAGCGAATGGGGAGGACCAGGGTGACGTGCCCTCCCCCTTGGGAGAGACCAGACCATTGCAAAGTGCCCCCGGGGTTGGCATCAGGGACCAGCTCTGGGATGAGACACCTTGGGCAGGACCCACTACTAGCCAGGACCAGGAAAAACCTGATTTATTAGGAGAACGCAGTGCCTGGGATGTGTTTCTGTGGGATGGACATGCCAGGGCAAACTGGGGGAGATTCTCCTGCTGGTTGGTGGCTGACAACAAGCAAAGAAACCTCTGTGGTGCTATGGAGCATCTACACTTGTATCTGAAGGGGTGCCGCCAGCGTGGGGAGAGGTGGGTGCATAGGAGCATGAGGAGGAATGGGTGAGAGAAGGAGAAAGAGCATCTCCTGGGGTGCATGGAGGATGGGGAGCTCCCACTCACCCATGACTCTGAGCTCTGTCCCGCACAAGTACGGCCACCTCTTCGCCACTGTGAGGTTCTTGCTGTCACACACGTAGATGCCGTTGTCCTCGTAGGTGACCCTGAAGATGGTGAAGTTGATGAAGTTGTCTTTCATCTCGATACGGTAGCGGGAGGTGTTGCGATCCAGCTTGTAGAGGTCATCACTGCCCTCTGACGTTTTGTACCACTGCATGCTATGGGGATCCGGGGAGTAGCAGATGAAGTGGACGGGCATGTTCTTCTTGGCCGCCACGTAGCGCAGGTGCTGCTGCACCATGGGGCACCCGCCGCCTGCCAGGGGACAAGTGTGGTCATGGCGAGCAGGGAGCCGGCACCTGGGGAGCGTCAGAAAAAGAGCCGCTCCCACGAGACGCCCCCCACCCCCACCCCCCCATCTCCCAAATCCAGAGCTTTCCGTTTTGATGGATTATACTGCTTTTGAGCACTCAGCTTTGTTTTGGTGAATCGTCATCGTCTGGGGGTAGAAATTGCAGACTTTTGGTGAAAACATGCTTTTAATGGAAACTCCAATTTTCTGTGGGAATGGCTTGACTCGAATACTTTTTTGCTGCTCCAGCCCCTCTCTGTGTACATCTCGTTAGTCTCAGCTCCAAAATTACAGCCTGTGCTGGCACGCACCACAGAGCCTTTGCCATCTCCCCAGCTGGCTTCTCTCATGCTTCCACATTTTTTTCATTTTGCTCTATTTTGTATTTTTGCCCATGTTTTGGTCCCAGAGCTGGTGAGTTTGAGGGCTCGTTTGGGTTGCAGAATTCATGCTTAATATCCCATGGGTGGGAATGGCACAAGCGCTGTGTGCATGAGCCCAGGGCCTGGTCCCAAGGCACGGCTTGTTCATGCAACGTGCTCTGCAAACGCAGAGGAAAAAAACGTGTGTGCTTAGGAAAGACAAAACAGATCCGGCTTTGCAGAGGGGGAGCAAGGTGCGGGGCTGGGGAAATGCCGTGGAGGAGGTCACAGCCTGGGAATTGCCTTTGGGATGGGGAAGGCCTGTGGGTGACGGGGCATCTCCAGCTCTGCAGGGGACCCGTGCCTTCGTGGCATAGCCATGGGGACGGGAGGGACCCTGGGGACACA